GTATGTATGTATGTATGTATGTATGTATGTATGTATGTATGTATGTATGTGTGTAAAATGGTGGTGTGCCCACGTTTCTCGTGCTTCCTATTCATGGGCCAAGCGCTTGGCAAACGGATCATATTTTTGCAATAGGCCAGTGGTACACCTGTGTGTCCCACCCATCATTATAGCCACAGGTCCGTGGCATGCTCCCGCGCCAGAAGCAGCCATGATGGTTACCACTTGTCCACGGTCTGGTCTGACGATGCAGCTGGGCTCGGCCCACCACGTTATCCGTGGCGAAGGCCTTTACCCGGAGACCCGTCGGGATATTCAAGGAGCCGAGAGCGTCCAAGCCTGATGGCTTAGGAGTACCAGTTCTCAAGACAGCCCAGGCGCCAGGCATGTCAGCGGATGTGACTTGGCGACCAATGTCAAGTGAAGAAATAAATATTCTGAGCTATGGCGCACTCGGATAGCTATGGAAGGTCAAAGTTGATCAGAATGGTATACCCGATACTATGCAACCTTCAGTGACTTCAAGAAGGTCAGGATTAGATACCCGATGTTTCCAATATGTTGTGCCGGCCGCTTTCCGGAACCAGGGGCCCAGGCAAAGCCTCGGTAAGGGGGTGGAGGGGCACAGGGTTGGCTAGGCGCCCCTGAAGGGAAAGGGTCCTACAAAAAAGCAAAACAAATCGCCAGATTTTGTTCAATTTTTCCGAAAGGTCAATATTGTTTTGGTTTAATTTCATTGCTTAAGTCATTTAGCTGGAGCAGAAGCCAGAAAAGCTACCGGAAGGTCCAATGATGTTTGTATTTTGAACTCAATAAACTGAGGGAGGGGGCGGGTTAAACGATTGCACAGAATAAACACATGTGTTATTTATTTTGCCATCACCACGTGTACGCCTCTAAACCCATAGAATTCAAAGGCTCTGTTAGAGCTTTTCTGGGTTGGCTACAGAGATATCGAGAACCCCGTGAACGTTCAACGTAGATCGAAATGGGGGCCTTAGGTGTTTCGCGCATCGGTGGAAAGGGTGGCCTTAGCGGCAACGAGATTCCTCGTGTCCAGCAAAGCCGGGGAGTGCGGAGCTAAATGAAGCCAAATTACTGTGGTCACCAACGGGCGCTGAACAGGCCAGTCGGCCCTGGGTAGCCAAACGTGCATTTGAGTGGTCAGAGGAGCACCTGCTCAGTCAGAGGTGCCCATTGGTAACCAGAGGGGTCCAATGGCCGGAGGGGCGGCCAGCAAGGCCCCGGAACAGTTACGGGGTACGCCGTTAGCCAGAAATTTATCGGTGACCGGCAGAGTCATTTGTGGGCAGAAAGGACCTGAGGAGCGAAAACGGCCCAGCAGCGACCTTGGGTACACATCGGTCCCAGAACGGTCAAAAAGCCTCCTTGTGGTTCCGAGGCCCCGTAGTGTCCAGCAAGAAGTTTGAAAGACAGTAAAGTCAGTATAACCTGTTTTTCGCACGGCACAAGTCGCAAAACCCATTCCATGGGGTCCCTGGACTCCTTGAGCCCTCGCAGGCTTTACCCCAACGGAGTCTTCAGCCCGATTAGGGGACCCAAGGCCTTTCACGATCAGAGTATGAAAGGCCTTTCCATCCTATTTTGGGTTGCCTGCTGGCTGCCATTCTGGAGATACGTGGGCCGGGGCTACTGATCGATCCGGAGGCAGAGGGATACATGATAGATCGCCCCCCCCCCCCCCTTCTGACTCTGGATGCCCTATGATCGGTACGGTTGGCCCTGGATTGACGCAGCCCCCTCCCCCCCCCCCCCCACTGACGTAAAAAGGTCCCTTGGTCCCTTCTTGGTCTCCGCTTAGAGGGTCCAATAAATGGCGCGAGCCCCCTGACTGACACGGGGTCCTTCGAATGCCTCACTGCAGTCACTCGCATATTCCTTTTCTTGTAAGAGGGTCCCGATCAACGCAAGATCTGCTCTGATGTTCCGGACTCTGTCCCTGTCTTCGTTCAGCAAATGGGTCCCTGGCCGACTCGAAGGCACTTACAGACATGGGATCCCTGTGAGGCACTATGGGTTCCCTGGTCCATATACCCTGCCCCCCCTCCCCTCCCTCTTTCCTCCCATTGTCACGGGGATCCCTACCAATGCTAGAGGTTTTATGACTGGCATTCGCTGGCTTTGGCCTTGTCCCTGCTTGGAAAGTGGGACGCTGGTCGACACGGGCTAGTTACTTGGCATTTGTGAACTCTGGCCTACATAGAGGTCCTCAGATTGTGCCAGGGGGATCGGTGTAGGAGGACCTCTTAATAATATTGGAGGGCCTCTGCACGCAGAACCTGGGTTCGCTACTATAACACCCGGTCAGCCTGTGGGGCTCTTCGAGCACCTCATCGCGCCCATTATCTTCGGTTCCCATGAGCCCTTTGACCCCTCGGGACACACAGAGGAAGGCCCATTCCCCCTGTGCCTTGTGCCTACGAGTCTTTTGATTATCAAAAGGCTCCTGTGAAACTGTGGAGCGCGGCGTGTCTATCCGCCGCGGGCCACATGCTGTTTTTCAGTGAGCAAGTGGGTGGTTCTCAGTCTTGACCCTAGGTCGGGTCGGACCCTCTGTGCTTTACTCCGCGTTGCTCTGAGCGATCTGGGTTCAATATGGCGCGGTTAGCTCGAGTCCGTGGTGCACGGCTCGCGACGTATAACGTGAGGCTGTGGTGACGACGTACGGAATCTACGAGAATGTCGCCCTCAGGGTCTGTCTTCAGCGACGCAGATGAAGTACATGTGCACCGGTCCCCTGGCTATTGAGTGAAAACGGCAGCGCTCCGTCGGCAAAATGATTAAAGCGCTCGAGTCCAAGAGAAAGCTAATGGCAGCACCGCAATAGCCACACGTAAGTGAAAAGGGTGGGACATTTTGGACGAATTCAAAGCCATGGAGGATCCATCCATCAGTAACGCAGTGTCAAATTTTTGGGATGAAATTGAGACAAAACTGTCATCATATGAGACAAAATTTGAAAAACTGGAAAGCGCAGTCTTTGAACGGGACCAGCATATAGAAAGCTAAGAGAAAGACCTGAACGAGCACGGAAACAGGTTGAAGCTTATCACAAACAAGTTGAAAAGCTTGAGCGTCAAAATTGTTCTGCCAACGTTATTAAAACAAGTCAACATTTCGGTAAACAGCGTCAGGGAGAAGACGTTGAGAGCATGACAATTTCAGTGTTATGCAAGTGCTTCCCGGCCGAGACCATCAGGAAGGACGATTTCTCGGTCAGCCACCGCTTGCCGAGAAATAATACCATGATTTGCGCCTTTAGTAACAGAAAAACTGCGCAATAAACTATTCAACGAGCGGACCAAAAGGAAAAAATGATCCGACCTCAAGAAAAGTGTACCGCAACGAGTCCCTCACGAAAAAAAACAGGCAGGCTGTCTGCGAGCAACTTGTCCAGTTCAAGCGAGACGACCCACCTCCGCAAAAAGCGGCACCCCAGTGTTCGAAAGGTTCCAGGATTCCCCACCTGTTAGGGTCTACTCCACAAAACAGCTGAACGGTGTTGTGCGTGGGACACTTCAGGCGCAGTCAGCGGCTGGGCGCGTTGATTCTGCAGAGGCGCGCCCAGCATCATCGGGATCGGGCGCTGGCCGCCCTGACGCCCAGCGGCCCGCCACTGCTGCGTCGGCTGGTGACACCCCACCCGGTGGCCCGGTGTCCACAGCTGCGGTGTGAAGTCTCGTCACCCGCGCCGGCGTGTATTGCTGTAGCGGCTGCTGCAGTGCTGGTGGCTGGCTCTTCGTCCAGCGTGTCTACGTCTGCAGAGCTGGTGACTGGTGGATCGTCGACAGCTGGCTCGCCGTCCGCCCTGACACTGGCGGCTACCACGTCGGTCAGAGGTGCGCCCACCACAGGGACGGTCAGTCGTCGCACGTCCGCAGAGCTGGTGACTGGTGGATCGTCGGCAGCTGGCTCGCCGCCCGCCCTGACACTGGCGGCTACCACGTCGGCCAGAGGTGCGCCCACCACGGGGACGGTCGGTCGTCGCGCGAGCGGCGCGCGTCAGTCATGCAGCGATAGCTACTTGATCTTCGCGGCTAGAGTGGGCCTGGTGTGATGGGAAGAGTGTTAATTATTTTCATTGTGTCAAAATGCCGTGTTTTTCTTTCGGTTCATACGCTTGGGTTGGCCGTACTGCCTCCTTTTTTTCTTTATTTCACCCGTTATAAGACCGTCACTCAGCTATGTACTTCGTCCAGGTTTAGGTATTGTTTTCCATGCTGGTCGGCACGCAATCTTGAACCTTTATACCTAATTTAGCTAGGATACTACTGGGCTGAGGCAGCCAGTGTTCCGATGCATGGTGGTCTAAAAACAATCCAGCGGACGTGCTGCACTGCTAGCGCCGGCTGCCGAGCGCCGGCTCTCAGTTTGCGGAAGCTCCAGTGACCTAGCTACCTTGCCATCTGTCGCTGCGCCGGCTGCTGGCGCAGCTGTTCCGTTGAGTCGCTTTTTCCCCGCAAGATGTATGGATTGTGGTCTGCATAGGGTGTAGCAGAAAGATGCCATTGTGCCAAACATCAGTATAGTTTCATTGAGCACAGTTGCCAGCGTTCCACAACGGCCGCCGCTGCTGGCCATTGTAGGAACGCTGGTCAAGAGTGTTTTTGTCCGTGGCATCGTGACACACGCAGCCACTCCAACAGGCACAATCATACGAGCGCGCAAACACAGACACCGCATATACCCAAGAAAACGGATGCACATTTGCAAATGTGCTGACACACCGATGGCTATGCAGCTCATGTTGGGGAGTCGAAATGACTAATTTAAAAGTAATTTCTGTGAACGTCGAGGCTTGGCAGGCCAATTCAATCGTAGAGACGCAATGTAGTACTTAAGAAATGAGCTTTGATGTTTTCTTCCTTCAAGATACACACTTAGCAAAAGACAAAGCACCCTTTTTCGATGTTCTCAGGAAAGGCAGCTCATATCATGCGTGTGGTACGAGCTGCAGTAGAGGAACGTCTATCCTTGCTTACAAAAATGTCCAGCATGACGCTCTTTTCCAGTTCGCGTGTGACAGAGACAATTATATGATCTTGAGATGCAAGATTGGCACCGATACTCACGTGCTTGGGTGTGCCTATAGCCCAAATGGGAATGACCTACAATTATACATACGTTTAGTCGACATTCTGAACAAATGCGACGTCGACCACGTTGTTCTTGGAGGAGATTTCAACTTTGCTATTGATGCAGAAAAAGACAGCCTAAATACGTTCGCGAAAACAATGATAACGCTAGGTAGAAGTTTGTTTTATTTTGCGATAAACACGGCCTTGTAGATCTTGGGAGGCACTACTGAACATAAGCCCACTGAACAGCAATTCACATGAGCTAGACCAATTCCCAACAAGGGAGCCAGATTAGAGATGTTTTTCGTTAGTCACCATTTGTCAAGTCCATGCCACAATGTTTATGTCATTCCTGGCTACCGAACAGACCACAGTATCATATCAATGAGCTCGCAGACCGGCAAGTCGCAGCGAGGTCCCGGGTTACGGAGTGTAATGGCTCGCTCCTTAATGATGATGAATGCATGAACGTAGTAGACCAGTGTATCGGACAAACACTGGAACAGTATGCTCTGCCCGTTGACTAGCCGGGTTTATTGTTGGAAGCTCGTAATTGCAAATATGTCCAATATTTCATCAATGATGATTTGTTCTACGAAACACTGTTAATGATGATCCATGGAAAAACTGTAAGGTTTTCCAAACAAAAAGCAAAGCAAATGAAAGATAATGAACGATAACTCATCACCCGGGTGGCTAACGCCCATGCCCAATACGCGTCGATTGGGATCGGTGCGACAGTTCGGGCCTCTTTTTCGACCAGACACCATCAACACCGAGCAGTCTGATCCAAGTCGTTCTGAGCTCTGGTGGTCCATTTTCAAAGCACAAGCAAGGCCGGGACCGTGATTCGCATTGGTCGGATTTCCTTGAAATAATGGAGGTGCCTGTCGGAGGCTCGCAATGCCAAACAGGGGTCCTGTGTCGACGTGGAACCCCGAGTCGGCCAGGGGAGCACTTGCTGAACAGGGATAGTGACGAGACCCCGAATGCCAGAGGGAATTTTGCGTTGGTCGAGGCAACCACACAATTTGCTTTCAGCTTTCACTTGGCTTCATTTTGCGTCAGCTCAGTAGGTTTAGATGTTCCTAAAGCTTCACTCAGGGTCGCATGCCAGCAGTCTACAAGCTTCATTTCAACGCCCGACGAATTGGGTGTACTTTGATGACCTAATTAAAAATTGCTGATGTTAGCGTTTGAGAACTTATGCTCAATCTAAGCCAGTTCAGTTCTAAAATGGATGGTGTAGCCGTATGAGTCTGCATTGAAATAGGGACGGTTTGGCCGCTCCTCTGGGGGACGTTTTGGGTATTTAACAAATAGCAAATGAGACGGGTGTCAAAGCTGCGTACTGTTCGGGTCCCTAACAGCCAGGCATCCCGCGCTCTACGTTTTTTTTTACTCTTTGAGCTTTTGTTATCCTCGGGCCCGAAATTATCACCGGGACGCGAGCAAGCCCGGCTGACTTTCAGCGGATAAAGTTGCACGCCCAGCACAGAATAAACCGTTTGAACTCGCCTCGGTGATCGCTCGCCCACTGCGCCAGGTGTGCCAGCTCCTGCGGAATTCTCGGGACCTGCAGCACGTCCAGACCAAGGGCATCTTCAGCCAGCAAAAACTCAGTCACTCAACTTAGCAACTCAGCCAGCAACGACTGGCCAAGAGTCAATGAGAGATTGGATGTCGCCAATGCTGTCGCATCACGCTCCATCAGCGGGAAGACCTATGCATTCGTCCAGCATGTTTTAAATGCTCCCTGCCTTCAAACAGTACGCTATCAAGATACATGCGTGGCTTCCAAGTCCCAGCTTGGTGCTGACAGCATCCCCGCGGCACTCCAGGTGTTGAAGCTGGCGGTGGAGACCATGGATCCGTTGAAGTGCATCTGATCCTGCTTTTGCATCAGTGGAATAACATTGCACAGTCGGCAGTCGTATAACTAAAGCCTGTTGCCAAAGGAGGAAAATCGTTGTTAATTTATCCGCTGCATTCAATATAAATAGCCAAAAGCTTATGAGCGTGGGATGTGATGCGCTCTTAGACCGTTTAAGGATCGGGGAAGTCTTGTCCAGTAGTTGCTTGGTAAAGGTGGAGCACACCAGCGGTATCTCTTGCATCATGCAACTAGCATCCGTCAGGAACTAGCCCTGGCGAATGACTAGGCCCCAGTGTGCACTGACTTGTCTGTTCCCACTAGATGGAACCGCGCGAATGTGCCTGGGCAGGTTCGGGTCGGGAGCCCCGGCCGAGGAGCTTGGGGCGCTTGCGCTGCTATGCCCGACCGCTCCTCTCACACAGGGAGGTGGGAGGTACGCCCGCATTCCCACCGGTACACCGTTCTAGGCTACATCTATGCGACCACTTTGTCCAGTCAGCTGATCTGCCAGACCGGGGCCAAATCAAAATGCCAACTGGCGGCCAGAAATTCCACAGATTGGCTTGGCGTAAGCTCCTCGACGGCAGCAGTTGTGATGTAAAAAATGTAGTGGTGACCCGGGGATGCAGTTTTGAGTCCATCTGGTACTTCCAAAGTCATGATTAAGTCCTCACGCCGAACGCTTCTTTGGCGTAAAACGCGACGAATCGTCCTGAAATGGCTCGCCTCCCGAGTCCTAGATTACCGCCTTGGCTGTTGAATTACCTTCAAAATTAGGCTAAAACGTCATGGATTTTCGTTCATTCATAGTTACTTTGATCTTACAACAGATTTCACACACCCAGCGTGTTGTAATGCATGCGATCTCTCACGCCCGTTGCCACGCGTGCCGTCATCAGCGTTAAAGGTGTATCCTGGTGACGTCACAAAGGGATCTTCGCTGAGAAGTGAGTTATCGGGACGGTTCCACCCAGTTTATATCACCTTGAGTCCAAAAGTGTTTCAAGTTTAAGACTGCGGGGACTGTGTGAGGCAAGGCGCGTTGTTGATATTTGTAACCGTATAGATGTTTTTATGTTGTATTCTGGCGCAAACCATTTCATATTTTTACCTTAACGTAACTGTTATATTGATACGCTATTCGTGGTTGTTTCGTCAAATTCGTTGCATATTGCGGTGCGTTAGTGAGAAACGTTAACAATGATATTTTAGTGTAGATGTAGAAAAGGCAGTTAAGGTCAGGATCGTGTGCATGCCAGTGCATGTTTTGTACCATGCTCCATATCGTATTGCTTGGTTTGCCAAGTGTAATTAACCACAGTTTAATGAGACAAAGTCCTAAAACTTTTGCACATCACAAAATGGGAACATGTCCCTGTTTTAGTTTTTGTCTTTGGCATATGCACCATTTTCCACATATGATAGATTGGTGATTATGATATGATAGATTTCCACATATGTTAGATAGATAGAATATAATGGTTATATATTCTGAATTATATACATTCACAAACATGTATGCAGGTATTACTATCAATATCATCTTCCAGTATCTCCTGTTATACTGAAGGCTGGTCATTTTAAAGTTTTTAAACATGTAAACTCAGTGCTTGAAAGTCAGAGTTCAGGACCTTTCCATTTTGCGGCAAGTACACAATCTGAAACACTCACTATCACCCTATTGGCTTTTATCATGTGATGTTCCATTTTGGTATGCTTGACTCTGCTGAATGAAGATACATTTGGCCAGTGGTATGTGCATACACTAGCCCTTTGTCTTATGCCCCCTGCACCTTGGCAAATTTATAGTGTGTATCGATATGCATGTCCAGGTGTTGATGTCAAAAATTCAGATGATGTCATCCTTCTGACTCAGTGTTACCATTGTTTTGCAGGTGGACAGAAATGGCCACTGTCCTTGGCCTGGGACCTGGTCTCTTCACTTTGGTCCTGCTATGGTCCTGTGTCATTCTGGCGGTCATTCTGTTCTTCCACGCACGTCGTTCAGTGGCACTGTCGGTGGTGGTGGCTGCCGCTAGCTTCACCTTTCTCCTGTCCAGGATCCCAGTGAAGTCTGCCTACGAGGAGGTTGTGGATGATGGCAGGGTGAGTGTGAGGGTCTGGTTTCGGTCCATGACTCTCCGGCGGCTGTGCACAAAACAGCAGTGTTCTCTCCTCCATGCTGGTTTGCCTTCCTTTTCAGTTGTGATTTCCGCCATTAGCCAGCTGTTTTCCTACTTCCGACACGAATGCGGCCTGATGACTAATGCCGCTCTGTACATCTGCAAGCACTAGTTGCTAGTTGAACAATTCTCAACTTGTTCAACTAGCAACTATGCTCAATTAGAATGAAAGGGACTGGCCGTCATCTTCGGCGTCACCCGATTCAAGCGGTGCCTCAGGGGCCGGAGATTCGCTCTGACTGATAACAAGCCACTAACTGCCCTGTTGAGACCAAAGACGTGGGCTCCTGCGCTGGCGGCAACCCGAATGGGGAGCTCATGATCAAGCTCGGGATCAAGCACGTGCGGATTGCACCATGTCCTCAGTCCAGCGGACTCGCTGAAAGAGTGGTGCAAACAGTCAAACAGAGCCTAAAAACATGGCTGATCAGAGGAGACGACCGTCCGCTCGAGCTACAGCTGTCATCGTTTTTGATGAGGTATCAAAATACCCGGCACAGCACAACGGGAGTGGCACCCGTGGAAGTCATGACGGGAAGAGTGATGAGAACCAGACTGAACCTACCGAACCCGAGACCCGCCGAAAATGTGCTGAATGCCCAAGCCAGACAGGTGGGGAATGCCAGCAAAGGGTTTCCGGAGTACACTGCTGATGGTTCAGTATTGGTGCGTACCTAAGTTGGCGAAACAAAACGGGAAAAGGTTACTTTTGGCCGCGCTGGACCAGTGCCATACCAAGTAACGGTAGACGGATTGACATGGTCACGTCACACAGGACAGCTGCCTCCTCCTGGCCAATGTTACAAACCCGCTGGAAGAGAAGAATATACTGGTAAGAAGACGGAGTCGAATCTGTCTGTGACGAGACCTGAAAACGGTAAAAATGTCATAGAAGAACCGATGAGAAAGCAAGATGCAAGTGTATGCCGTAGTCAGCGACGCAGTGTCGCATATCCCCATCAGCTAGAATGGAGAGGTACCGATCCACAGGGACAAGTGCCACAAGCGGTCAGCAGTGGTGGGTTGGTAGAGGATGGCACGCGAGCAACACATAAAAACAGTAATGAGACATCGACGGGTGGATCTCCGAACACACGAGCGGAATGAATGCAGAGATGAAGCGACGGGGAATGAACCCTCAAGGGACAATGAAGACCAAGTTCTAAGCCACTAGTCACCACCTGAGCCAACCAAGATCTTCCCAAGGAGTGGTCGGGAGGTGCGCAAGCCCATCCGGTTCCAAGCGGGCGAAACTTGACTGCCACGGGCTAGGGTCATTTCATTCTCAGGGGTGTGAGCTGTTATGTCGGCCATGGACTTTTTAGTGTCATCGGTTATTGACGTCACAAGAGGTACCCGTGTGTTAACCGTCCCGCTGACAGCGAGATAAAATATTGTACGCGTTATCGGCGGAGAAATATGTTTTGATTTGATCAAAAATGTAAGTTACTCGAATACTGTCTACGTTTGTATAATTGCAAACTCTGATGTATAACATACCCTCCAGTGACAGCGCTACGTGACGCGGCGCCCCGCTCTCTCATGCCGCTAACTATCGCCGCGCCGTCTGACCGTTGCCGCTGTGTCCAGGTGGTGGACCCGCTGTACGTGTGGCGGCTGGTGCTGCTGGTGCTGGTGGCGCTGGCGGCCATCGGTGGCGGCGTCATGGTGCTGGTGCTGCACTTCAACGAATGCGTGCTGGCCAAGCCGCTGCGTCGCTTCGGCCCCGGCTGAAGGTGCTCCATGGTGCCTCCCCCCAGCGGGGGAATGGGGGGAGGCACCATGCGCAGGGAATGGGGGGAGGACTCCCGCAGTTCTCTCTTCTTTGTACTGCCGGCATTTTAATTAGGTCATGCCGCCACTGGTGTCTCACACGAAGCGCTTGGACTCTTCATGCCGACCGTGTGTAATGACTTCCACGAGAGTCGCGGTGAAGCAGGCGCGGCTGTTCGCAGGCCGTGGCGCACTGCAGCGGAGTCCGTCCTATCTGTAGTCAGGAAGGCGCACAACCTCAGACCGCTGGTCAGGAAGGCGCGTAACTCCAGACCGCTAGTCAGGAAGGCGCGCAACCCCAGACCGCTAGTCAGGAAGGCGCGTAACCCCAGACCGCTAGTCAGGAAGGTGCGCAATCCCAGACCGCTAGTCAGGAAGACGCGCAATCCCAGACCGCTAGTCGGGAGGACGCACGACTCCAGACGGCTAGTTTGGGAAGCGTGCAGTCCCTGACCACTAGTCATCTTTGGATGCGGCGTCAGGATCTCAGCCGTAAAGTCGTGCGTCAGTGTGCATGTCGCTTACATTGGAATATCTTGTCTTTCGTCGCGATCTCACGGGTTGGCGCTGATGCATGTCCGTGCGCGGGGCCATGAAGATCGACCGCCGCGGGCGATAGCACGTCGACCACGTGCGGGGCGGCCGCGCGGATCACGTGCCGACAGACGCGTGACCGCCACGCTCACGCGGGGTCGCGTCGGCGCCGCAGTGGAGCGTGGAGGCCGTGTGATACGCTCGCATGTGGTCGCACCGGCTCCGTGGGAGCGCCGCGGCGGAGTAGACCGATGCGTTCGCGCGGTGTCGACTGGACTATGTCGGTCAGGCGGGCTGAGTGTTTTCGATGTTGCATCAGTCGATTTTTGTACGGCGAGTGGCTGGGTTGAGTCTAGTCATCTGATAAAAGCGTTGGGCGATTGGTCGCGTCGATCTGAACGCGGTACAGGGCGCGGACGTGTGACAGGGCGCTGCACGCGCATGTTTGCTCTCCGACAATATAACGCACGATCAACGTTTAAACCTGTCTGAAGAAGTCCGCCATCGCTGTGTGTGGGTGTGGTTTAGGCAGACGGCGGATCTGGAACGATTAAGAAACATAACTATCGTTTGAAGCTTAGGTGTCGGCAAGTCAAGGGCATGACCCGCACCAGCCTGTCTCATGTAGCGGCGTCATGCCGGACTCAGCATGCCGGATTCAGCATGAGCCGGACTCAGCATGAAGCCGCAAGTCCAGGTGTGATAATGTGCGGAGCATCCAAATGCACAGCGCGTGTGACCTTATCAGTGTAACCACCCGAAGCACGCGAAGCAAAGCCTACTTTCTTTACTCGCCTTCCATTTCAGCCTGAACTGTGGATGCAAGTTTTTTGCTAGGTGAAATGTGCATTGACCGAGTCCTCTGTTTACCTTAGTTGTATGCAATGACGGTGAGCAAGGATCTGAGTTGTCTACGCTAAAGCGTTTCACTAGAATTGACGCCAATCATTGCGCACATGACGCAGAATGAGGCACGAGTACTTTTGTCCTCGCGTAGTACACAAAAATGTGTTTTGCGTAAAACATTGACCGTTGCAATCCCCACGCCTCGCTTCCACTGTACACAAAAAGCGCAGTTCCGTAGGACAAGTGATATTAACATATCCATCCCTTTATTAAGCAGTTGCGCGGTTATAAAAACTCATTTCACTGACTATAGCAATCACTCCACAGCTAAAATCATCCTTCGTGTCACGAGTATAAAACTGATCAAGGCGACCACGGCGGCGGCGGTCCAGCGCCGCATAAGTCCGGAGCGCGCCGTCGGGTAAAGCTCGTCTGTATCACAGCCGGCGCCGCGGCCGGGTCACAGGTCATCCTCCTCGCGCCCCATCAGGTTCACTTCGCCGCGCGGCTCCTCGTCCCACAGGCAGAGCTGCTTGCGCGCCACCCGGTAGTCCATGACGTGGCAGCGACGGCAGGTGCGGATGCCGCACCGGTAGCTGACCGTCTGGCCATCCGGCTCGTGGCCCTTGCAGTACTTGAGACTGCACGGGTACCAGCTGACGCAGACGTGGTAGCGGCAGCGGCACGGCTCGCCCGGCGTGGAGACGGCGCTGCAGCGCGCCGCCGCCGGCGCCAGCGGCGACACGGCCAGCTCCAGCAGGTCCAGCGAGCCGGCGTCCAGGTCCGCCGCTGTCGGAGACGGCGAGCAGGTCAGACGGGCGGGGACCGGCACGGTCAGGCTAGCGGTCAGGGGGCCAGGCGGGACGGTGACCAGGCCAGACAGACTGGTAGTGCCGACGTTTACACGCGGGCGGGGGCCAGATGAGCCGCGGGTATACCGGAGGGGCGGGGTGGTATGGCAGCCTGGTTGAACGACTAAACCGTTACTAGCATCTGTGCCGTTGTTGGTGTTGCTACAACGCAACAGCGTTTTCTGCATCCGCATTCCGACAAATTCGACTGCAAGCACACTGAAGAAAAAGAAAGACTCGAGAAAGACCCGGCTTTGACAAGACAAACCCGACCGCGCCCGGACGAGACTCCATCATGGTTCACACGACCTCCGAGTCGGAGGCATCCGCGCGTCCTGGTCCCACCTCTACGGTCCGCCACGTGCCGCACGTCCTCGTGGCGTGAGTACGTGGCGCCGGCCGCCTCGCCGCACAGCTGCGCGATGTGGGGTGAGAGGGCTGCCGACCGGTTCAGGTGCACCAGCACCTCCATCTGGTAGCCGACTTCGGACAGATCTTCCTCTGCCTGGCGCTCGGCGTGAGGGTTTTTCTGCCAGGGAGCCGACCGGGTCAAACTCGAGACCAGTACCGTCTTCAGATGCAGCGGATCGTGAGCAGAAGGCTGCAGTACTGGTTCGACAGGCCACAGCAGTAGGCTATACCCTGATGACTCAGAGCTCTGTGTGGTTTGCTGTCAAAACTAGGATCACCTGCATTCCAGGGAGAGTTAAGCCTCTTATCATAAAAGGCCTACTTTTTGTTTCTAAGGAGTAACAAGCACCACACCCAACAGCTCAGATTGGATTACATTCCATATGCCCAAACAAAACTACACAGCTATGTTATCACAAGCATAGACCAAGGCCATACATTGAATTGTAGAACCAAGCCCATTCATAGTATCATGGTTGATTTTTATAGGACTGATTCTTCTGTATCTGAAGTAAATGTCATATGACATGAGAATGCACTAAATGACAGAGGCTGGATTCAGAGTTACAACCACTGGGTCCTACCATACTATGACCAGCCCAGTTGAATATTGTTGGAAAATATGCAATAGTAAGATGGGGTTCATCTGTGTTAAATGACCCTGCTCAATGCCTGCAGTGCTGTTCCACTCCTACTAAGTGGAGCTACCCACATCCCCACTCTGGTTTGATGCCAATAGGAAGCCTCTTACTGGAACATTGACACCACCTTCTTAATTGGGTTCATGAAGTGATCTTCCTCCATGCAGACCCCTATCACTCACCTGTCGGAGCTTTGCTATGGCGTCTGATGCTATGTAGTCACCCTTGTCCACCTTTGTCACAAAACACATGACCTGGTACTGGCTCTGACCCCTCTCCTCTTCGCCCAGAACAAGGGCTTGAAATATTTGTACTTCCTAAAACAATGCATGTACAGTCATCTGAGGCACCATTTGTGGATCTCAAAAATGCATGTGACATCAGCAACAAAAGTATTTTGATTAGTTGCGTCTTTTGACCAGTTGCACTGACGCAACATACATCCATCTTATTTACCTAAACATGCAAGAATGCCATGAAAGCTGATGCCTAGCATTGTACCATACATCCAGTAGCACCAAGGACAAATTAATTTATCACACTACAACATGTCAAAACATTCAGTTCAGCAGACTAACATTTCTGAAGTCAACAAGGTGTGTTATGATGGTTCCATCTGCCTTGATGAACTCCAGTGTGGTGAAATCTTCAGTGACATTTCCACTGAGTGTTTCTTCAATCAGCTCCCCACCCTGGAACAAAACATGCCATTAAAGCTGAATTTCTGAGGGAAAGACTGACAGTTTATGTTCATCCAAACAGGACCTGAGACATCAATACAGCATATAAAGAATAAAATCACACATATCTATCCATGCATACATAAATGAAAAAGATGACAAAGATACATACTTCTACAGGCACTTTTGGTCCAGTGAATGTTTAATCTATGTGACCATACAAAGTGGTCCTCAAGAATTATGCATGTCATTTTAATTTGTTCAGGGATGGCTCACAAGCTCAGTTACAAAAAATCAACTAAAAAGGGTTAAATGCTGGCCTAGTAACCAGTACCATAGTAACTTTTGGTAACTACCCATACCAGAAGTGATGTATCATAACCAAATAATATGCATATAGATACTAGTGGTTACATGAAGTTATATCATACCGCTACCGCCTACTATTCAGTGAAAATTATGACCACTCCATTTTTTCGGTACAAAGAGGGGCACTTGATGAGTTGACTTCTTACCTGATTGCGGACGTTTACTCTAAGAAAAGCAGATGAAAATGATCTCAAGAATATGAGCGACCAGCACAAAATGAGCATTATGTACTTGCGCTCACACGTTTATAATGGCAGTCCTCACAGCTCACAAACACCCACTCATGCTATGCCCACTATCGGACATCCTTCGCGCCGTCCACCACCAGGTGGCCAGCCACCAGTCTGCAGCAGCCCGCCCGGCGATGTGGCGGCAAAGCGCACCCGAGCAGGCGCGAAAGCGACTGGCGGCCGACTGGCCGATAATTTGTCAAGCCCCAAAACGGGCCTCCCGGGACTTGGACCTTCCAATCTGGTGTAAGCGTAGTACGTGAGCATGTGTGGTAAAAACGAAAGCTGTAACGACAGTCCTATCGTTATCGGGCCCATTCTCACGCAATAGGAGGCGGCACATCGGCTGGATTGCTACAAGTCCAGCAATGGACCTCCTTTCAGGTTAGGTCTCAGACCGGCCAAAACGGCACAAATATGGTACGTGCGCACGCATGTGACACTTGGAGGCATGTCTCGACCATTCCATTGCATTGGTGCTAGAAGACGCCATTGTACAAGCAGTCTCGGTGGCTGGCTGCCGGCCGGTCGAAAATTGTCAAACAGCAGACCTCCCGGCAAATTAGGTGCAACACCTCCGAAACTTTTGCAAACGTAGCACGCACGCACGTATGGTTAAATGGCAAAGCTATAATGACCGTATCATCGCTTTCGGGTCCATTCTCACGCCACTTCAGCTGGATTGCTCCTAGTCCAGCACGGGACCTCCCTTTAGGTAAGGCCTCAGGCCGGCCAAAACAGCGTAAACATGACATGTGTGCACGCATATGACACATGGAGACATATGCCGACCATCTATCGCCTTGGGTTTTTGAAGATGCCATTGTACTAGCGGGCTCGGTGGCTGGCGGCCGGCCGGTGGAAATTGCTAAGTCCAACAACGGACCTCCCGGCAATCTAAGTATAAGACCACCCAAACTGGTACACACTTAGCACGTGCGCATGCATGTGAAAATGACGGCATGTGCTCATTGTTCTTTGTACTTAGGGACTGAAATTGTGAAGCTTTCTTCGTCAAAGTGGTCTGAGCGGCATGCGGCCACGTGGCCCGGGATCACTCCAGGTCCAGTAACGGCCCTTAGTGCAGGCTAGATGCACGACCGGCCAAAGAACGAACGTGGTACGCGTGACATAGATGCATGTGTCAAACATTCTGACGCTTTGGTGATACAACATGCCGCTGTCAAATCCGTTCAGGACAAAATGGTCTGGTTGGGCTCGGACAACCGTCCATGATCAGTGAACGAGACCATTTTCCGGCGATCACATCAAACGATCTCACTGATATGTTTCTTTTGAACTGCACTCAGTAATAAACTTGTTACAAACCCGCAATATCTCACTGACTTGCAATGGGAGGACATTTTCCGCAATTGTGATATCGGGCGATGAAAATATTGGCCCCTGGCGTCGGGAAAGCCCACCTAAATGGCTGCATGACGGGGAAAATCAGGGTGCTGGGGTCGATTAAGTCAACCTGATGGGTTAAAACCCCCAACCCGATTTTGATAAGTGCCGCCCATGCGGCTAGTCACCGAGCGCAAGTGTCAGCTATCGGTGGCCTCGGCCGCTCGGCCAAGCTCACCGCGGGGGAGGGGGGCAGCTCAGGGCGTGCTTCAGGAACTTTTTCTGGAAGCAAGCCGATGATCGGGGGGGGGGGGGTGTAGAGAGGGAGGTCGTTATCGTTCTTAATGTCATGACTTGCTTTGCTATATATGCACCTAGACCTGCTTCTCACTGATGCACAATCTCGCCTGTCCGACTCGTCTATGTCATTCGGCAATAAGGCTGTCCAGCTTCCCAAAATTATTTGTCTTTTTCAACAGTGTCTTTCATGGGAGGCAAAATTCCACGCGCGGGTAGACATTTTGGGTCATTGAGAAGAACATCTGCCTCTACAGTGTAAATGCCAAATACGGGCCTGAGCATAGGTTGGTGAGAATTTTGACAGCAAGTCGATGGCTCACAGTGCGACAAATTTGGTATCTGCCTTCATTTCACTGGCTGATTTTCAGGAGGTAAGACTTGTCGCAGCATTTTAAACGAAAACAAGTGCGAACCTTGAAACCGTCAAAAGCAGTGTGACAACGCCATACAACTGTAAATTTTCCTTTCAAATCCAAGCCACAGAATGAAGACTCCTCTGTCATATATTCCTTACATGGAACCTGCTGCCGTCTGCTGTCGGCGGCCCCTGCCCTGCGCCAGCTGTCTCTCGCATGACTGACTGCGGACTGATTGTATGGGTACTTTGTTGCAAATTTATGGATCAGCATTGCTACTTATTGGTTTGTAAGCCATATATAAAACACCTGCAGCAGTATCTTTTCCTTAATTATCCTCCCTTCCATCACACCATCGCAGGGGCGGATCTAGCCAGGAGTTTTTTTTGGCGGGGGGGGGGGCAACTGTTCGTCGCCAGCTGGCTGGTGTGGGATCCGAGGTCCAGTGCATGGTGCCTCTCGTGAGTACCTAGTAGGGACACCATTCAAACCCGAAAAAAGCACCGAAATGCTTTTGAATCTCAAACAGAAGTTGAAACAAAACAGTTAAAACAGTTAAAGTTAAGACAGACGGTAAGTTGACGAAACTTTATGAAGTTCTGGGAATATTTTGGGAGCCAAAACACACTCTCAGAGGTTTTGGGGGCATGGCCCAGTCCCTCTCTCTCCCCCCCCCCCACCCCGAGATATGCCCCATGCCCTCCCCCTCCCCCCCCCCCACCCCGCCCCCCCCCCCTGCTGCCCATGATTGTAGATCGACATGTTTTGATTGAGATTTGAGGATCAAAATTTGATTTTACATCCATTGAACAACAATGTGTATTAAACAACTGCTGCCCCGCCCACCATGAAAAGTGGGAGGCCCATAGCCCCCTGCCACCCCCCCCCCCTCCCCTGTTCCTATGCCCATGCGTCCGGGTGAGTGATGTACCGGCGGCCGTGCGTCGGGGACCGGAAAATGTCCGTGAAGTTGGCGATTTATTCAGCGATTTATTCCGCGATGAGTTCCGACTTCTCTAAAAGGTCTCCAGATGAATTATGACACGAGAACATCGGAAATGGCCGTTATTTTGCAGATCACATGACTTTCAAAGCCCAAAGCTGGGTCAAAGGACGGGGAACTCGATGTCACCCAAAAATTATTGGCCGATTTAAAAACTGCGAGCATAAAACAGTCACAAGCGCAGGGGCTGGCGTCCAGCGAACAGTCCTGACATCTCAAGGTCACCCTCTAAGGTCAAACGCGGGCTCAAAGTAACGGAACCGATTTTTCTGAAAAAAAACATAACCAGATGAATTATGGCACGAAAACATCGAAAATGACCATTATTTTACAATATCACGTGGCTTTCAAGGTTAAAGGATGGGTCTAAGGACGGATAACTCGATTTCACTTTAAATTTATTGGCTGACTTAAAAAATGCAAGCATCAAAATATTTAATATATAGTATATAATAATATAGCAATATCAAAATATTTACAACCGCACGAGCTGGCGCAAGAGCAAGCTCAAAATCACCATTCAATGTCAAACACGGGCTCAAAGGACGGATAACTCATTATTGCTCACAACTTACCGGCCGATTTTAGACTTCCAAACATTAGAGTATCCACCACAGATCCATATCCATAGAGTATCCACCACACCACCAGCTTCCGTCAAACTAGTCTCCGTCCTTTGAATCCGTATTGGGCCTAGAAGAGTGACCTTGAGAAATCAGGACTTTTGGACAGACGTTAGTCCTTATTGTAGTGAATATTCTGGTTCAAGCAAGTTCAAAATGCGCCGCTAGTTTTTGGATGACATGGAGTTCTCACTTTTTTAGCCTGAATTTGAACTTGAAGGGTGACTTTCAGAGGTCAGGTCTTTTACAGCGCTAGTTTTTCTGTGTATAATATTCTGATGTTTGCAAGTTTGAAATCAAACGGTAATTTTTGATGATATCGAGTTCCACGTCTTTTGAGCCTGAATTTGACCCTAAGTGGTGACCTTGAGAAGTCAGAAATTTTTGGGGGCATTTGTTCTTTTTGTGATGAATGTTCTGGTATTTGTAAGTTTAAAATCGGTCTATGATTTTTTGTTGATGTCGGCTTTTCCGTCCTTTGAGACTAAATTTGACCGTGAAGGAAAACCTTGAAAGTTAAAGACTTATGACGGACGAGAACTTTTTCTGTGGTGAATAATCTGTTGTTTGCAAGCCTAAAAATGACGGGTAATTTTTGGTTGATAAAGGGTTCCTTGTCATTTTAGCCTACGTTTGATGTTAAAGGGTGACCTTGAGAGGTCAGGACTTTTGGGGGAGGCTAGTTCTTTCTGTCGTGAATATTCTGCTGTTTCCAAGTTTGAAATCGGCCGGTTATTTTTTTGGTAATATGAAGTTCTTCGTCTTTTGAGCCTGAATTCGGCCTTGAAGGATGACCTTGAGAGGTCAGAATTTTTTGACAGACGCTAGTTCTTTCTGCATTGAATATTTTGGTATTTCTTAATTAAAATCGGCCGGTAATTTTAGGGTGACATTGAGTTCTTTGTCCTTTGAGCCTGAATTTGACCTTGAAGGATGACCTTGATAGGGCAGGTCTTATTAACGGAAGCTAGTTTTTTTCTGTGGTGAATGTTCTGACGCTTGCAATTTTAAAATCTGCCCGTAGTTCTTGGGTGATATGGAGCTTCCCGTCATTTGAGCCCGCGTTTGACCTTGAAGGGTCACCTTGACAGGTCAGGACTTTTTGACGGACGCTAGTTTTTTCTGTGATGAATATTCTGACATTCATAAGATTAAATTAGCCGGGAGCTCTTAGGTGATATTGAGTTCCCCGTACTTTAGGTCAGCGTTTGACCTTGAATGGTGACCTTGATAGGTCAGTGCTTTTTGACGGACACTAGCCCGTGCACTGTTGAAGATCTTAATGCTTCCAGTTTTCTAGTCGGCCGATAGTTTTTGGGTGATACTGAGTTTCCCGTCCCTTGATTTAGCTTTTGACCTTGAAGGTCACATGATATTGCAAAATAACGGTCAGTTTCGACTTTTTCGCGCTATAATTTATCTGAATGCCCTTCTTCGGAGAAATCAGGA